AATAAAGTATGTCATTTACAAGGAGAGCAAATAATATAAATTAATCCCGGGATACAAGACATTCAAACTAAAATTACATTTAATAAATCATTTCAACCATTAGAATAATTTTTCTTTAAATGAAAGTCCAATAAAATATCTATGTCATTTCTGCTAGCAACTTGAAATAATTAAAAAGATATAAAAAATCGTATTTGGTTTTCAATTCCAGATTTCACCTTTCAATAACAGATTATATCCTTTTTTAAGCCTTTAAAAATTGACAAAATAGTAAAAAAATGTTTTTTTATGTTATAATTAAGTATCCGTTTAGTTAGATGAAGCTCTAGAATTATTTTAAAGCATTATAATTTAAAGTTATACCGGGTGCGTCTCAAAAGTGGCTCACCCCTATAACTGTATTTTTTCAGATAAAAAACGAGATTTGGTGTGTTAGTATATGACTTAAATTAGGATTGATTGACGTATTCAATTCTTTTTGGTCACTTCCTGTTTCACCGGAAATGACTACAACTTTTGATTTTTAAACAACACCCCCGGTATTTTTTTACTTTATTCGATAGAAAATTAACAGTCTGAATAAAATGACATATCATATGTCAAATTTTAAAATTCGCATAACATCAATTCACAACGGTTCATAACGACAATTTGACTCGAAATACCAAGTGTATGGTACCAAATTATTCCTAAAAAAAAATGTTTTTTTCCAGGTTCCGGTAAAACAGGAAGTGGCTATAAACAAATAAAACAATTCAATCCGAATTGAAAAAATAAAAAAGTTATTGGGGTGAGCCACTTTTGAGACGCACCCGGTATACTCTACTGATTTTAATGAACATTATGAACTTTCAGTTGCAGTAGCGAAAAAGTGAAATAAATTAACTCTAAAGCAACACAAAAAATAATATTAATGAAGTAGGCAAAAGATCAAAAATTATTTCAACTGAGATTCACATTCCGCTTAACTATAATAAATTAATTCTACATCAGTTATTTTCTCATCGCTAGTTTTAACTATTTATTTAATTATCTCACCCCTTCGAAATTTTTATATCCAGACTATTTAATAGATAGATTTAATAAAAATTAATGTTATGTACCAATATAAATCTAAATTTTTTCGAGTGATAAAAAAGGGTTTTTGTTGAACGTCAGAAAATTTAATAGAATATAATATAGTGAACTCTACAACAGAGCCATTAAAATAAATTTTAATATTCAGTAATAATCCCTTGCATAGTTTTGATACATTATGTCCCGTATCGTTACATACCGGATAATGACCGACATGGCTAGCAGTCAAATTTACGAGCTCATTTTTAATGAGCCATTGTCTATTTAGCAGAGAGCAATTGTACTAGTTTGTCATAGGGCATGTATTTTCCACCACCAGCGCTACCATATATATTTTTAAGGTCCTTTTTGTTATCTGTGGTCTGTTCAAAACGTATTCGAAACATACTCTATCTCCCATTTTATTAATATTATTAAATTATTATTTTTAGAATGGAATTCATTGCTAATATCAAGAGTTTTATTAATTTCTTATAAATAAATTAATATTGGTAAGAGAAATCTGATTATATCACTGCATTCTTCATAAAAAGAACTATATTTGGACTGCATGATTATGTCAGCAAAAAAATTCTAGTGAGATGGCAAGATTTTTAATATACAGGGTGGCCCATCGAAAACGTTCTGCAAGGCATAAGGGCCAGGGTATTTTTTTTTCAAAAAATCCAAAAACACGTCAATTTTGTTTGTGAGGGGGACAACTTTTGCCCCAAAAATTATTGCAAAATCTTTAACCCTCTAAGCGGGGGCGTCATCCCCCAACTTTTTTCAAATGGGAAGGGGGGTCAAGAGGCGCAAAGTCCCCAAACTTTTCAAATTTCAATCTTTCATATTTTCTCAATGACTCGACCGATTTTCAAAAACGAAGCGGGGAAATATAGAGAATAAAAAGCTCTTTTCATTGCGGTGCCACTTCCCATTTGAAAAAAGTTGGGGGATGACACCCCCGCTTAGAGGGTTGAAGATTTTGCAATCATTTTTGGAGTAAAAGTTGTCCCCCCACAAACAAAATTGACGTGTTTTTGAATTTTCTGAAAAAAATTACTCTGGTCGTTATGCCTTGCGGAACGTTTTCGATGGGCCAGCCTGTATTTTTCAATGCTATGTAATTATTAAGGATATTCATATATTTTTTAAATTATTAAGGATAAATTTACTTATATTGTACACTAAATCTGATTACACCACTGCATTCCTCATAAAAAGAGCTATCTTTTGACTATATAATTATGCCCACAAAAATTTTTCTATTGAGATGGCAAGATTTTTCATATATTTTTTAATGCTATGTAATTATTAAGGATATTTAAAAATATCTCATAAATCAAGGAATATTGGTACACTAAATCTGATTACACCACTGCATTCCTCATAAAAAGAGCTATCTTTTGACTATATAATTATGCCCACAAAAATTTTTCTATTGAGATGGCAAGATTTTTCATATATTTTTTAATGCTATGTAATTATTAAGGATATTTAAAAATCTCTCAAAAATCAAGGAACAGTGGTACACTAAATCTGATTACACCACTGCATTCCTCATAAAAAGAGCTATCTTTTGACTATATAATTATGCCCACAAAAATTTTTCTATTGAGATGGCAAGATTTTTCATATATTTTTTAATGCTATGTAATTATTAAGGATATTTAAAAATATCTCATAAATCAAGGAATATTGGTACACTAAATCTGATTACACCACTGCATTCCTCATAAAAAAGAGCTATCTTTTGACTATATAATTATGCCCACAAAAATTTTTCTTCTATTGAGATGGCAAGATTTTTTTTATATATTTTTTAATGCTATGTAATTATTAAGGATATTTAAAATATCTCATACAATCAAGGAATATTAAGTACACTAAATCTGATTACACCACTGCATTCCTCATAAAAAGAGCTATCTTTTTGACTATATATATATGCCCACAAAATTTTTCTATTGAGATGGCAAGATTTTTCATATTTTTAATGCTATGTAATTATTAAGGATTATTTAAAAATATCTCAATAAATCAAGAACATTGGTACACTAAATCTGATTACACCACTGCATTCTCATAAAAAGAGCTATCTTTGACTATATAATTATGCCCACAAAAATTTTTTTCTATTGAGATGGCAAGATTTTTCATATATTTTTTAATGCTATGTAATTAGTGGGATATTTAAAATATCTCATAAATCAAGGAATATTGGTACACTAAATCTGATTACACCACTGCATTCCTCATAAAAGAGCTATCTTTTGACTATATAATTATACTTACAAAAATTTTTCTATTGAGATGGCAAGATTTTTCATATATTTTTTAATGCTTATAATTATTAAGGATATTTAAAAATATCTCACATAAATCAAGGGAATATTGGTACACTAAATCTGATTACACCACTGCATTCCTCATAAAAAGAGCTATCTTTTGACTATATAATTATGCCCACAAAATTTTTTTTCTATTGAGATGGCAAGATTTTTTATATATTTTTTAATGCTATGTAATTATTAAGGATATTTAAAAAGTATCTCATAAATCAAGGAATATTGGTACACTAAATCTGATTACACCCACTGCATTCCTCATAAAAAGAGCTATCTTTTGACTATATAATTATGCCCACAAAAATTTTTTCTATTGAGATGGCAAGATTTTTTATATATTTTTTTAATGCTATGTAATTATTAAGGATATTTAAAAATATCTCATAAATCAAGGAATATTGGTACACTAAATCTGATTACACCACTGCATTCCTCATAAAAGAGCTATCTTTTGACTATATAATTATGCCCACAAAATTTTTTCTATTGAGATGGCAAGATTTTTTTATATATTTTTTAATGCTATGTAATTATTAAGGATATTTAAAAATATATCTCATAAATCAAGGGAATATTGGTACACTAAATCTGATTACCACTGCATTCCTCATAAAAAGAGCTATCTTTTGACTATATAATTATGCCCACAAAATTTTTTCTATTGAGATGGCAAGATTTTTCATATATTTTTAATGCTATGTAATTATTAAGGATATTTAAAATATATCATCATAATCAAGGAATATTGGTACACTAAATCTGATTACACCACTGCATTCCTCATAAAAGAGCTATCTTTTGACTATATAATTATGCCCACAAAAATTTTTCTATTGAGATGGCAAGATTTTTCATATGTTTTTTAATGCTATGTAATTATTAAGGATATTTAAAAATATCTCATAAATCAAGGAATATTGGTACACTAAATCTGATTACACCACTGCATTCCTCATAAAAAGAGCTATCTTTTGACTATATAATTATGCCCACAAAATTTTTTCTATTGAGATGGCAAGATTTTTCATGTATTTAATTAATGCTATGTAATTATTAAGGATATTTAAAAATATCTCATAAATCAAGGAATATTGGTACACTAAATCTGATTACACCACTGCATTCCTCATAAAAAGAGCTATCTTTTGACTATATAATTATGCCCACAAAAATTTTTCTATTGAGATGGCAAGATTTTTCATATATTTTTTAATGCTATGTAATTATTAAGGATATTTAAAAATATCTCATAAATCAAGGAATATTGGTACACTAAATCTGATTACACCACTGCATTCCTCATAAAAAGAGCTATCTTTTGACTATATAATTATGCCCACAAAAATTTTTCTATTGAGATGGCAAGATTTTTCATATATTTTTTAATGCTATGTAATTATTAAGGATATTTAAAAATCTCTCAAAAATCAAGGAATAGTGGTACACTAAATCTGATTACACCACTGCATTCTTCATAAAAAGAGCTATATTTTGACTACATAATTATATCCATAAAAAAATTTCCAGTAAAATGACAAAATTTTTAATATTTTTTTAATAATATTTAAACCATCTTTCATTGATTTTTTGTAGTTCATCCACTGATTCAAGTACCAAATCAGCTAGTCGGGGCTCCCATAAACACCGATGTAGGCCTCGTTTGTCACGTAGAAGCATCTCCAAAAGCAATAAACTACTGGACTAGAGAAACTGGTAGTTTTATAGTTTCTTTAATAAGAATTTTCGTAATTAAATATATTTTTTTTAGGCGAAATGATCATATCAAACGATAAATACTTTATGACTGAAATCAGCAACTCCTATTACAGCGTCCAAATGAAACTGATAATCAAACATATTCAAAAATCAGATTTAGGTGGTTACAGATGCATATCAAAAAATTCTATAGGCGATGCTGAAGGGAATATTCGATTATACGGTAAGTCACTATAATTAACTCATTTAGGATAATATTTTTATTAATAAAATACACTAGAAAATGTCCGTAGAAATGTCCAATAAATTACTGAAATTAATAATGGTTTAATATCTAGCCAAGACACTCGTAATGAGAATAGCAATACCAGCAGAAACCAAACTAGAAACTATTTAACGTTGGCCTGACCCCCGCAGAAAGTTTTAGATCCGTTTTAGACTGTTTATTTCCCTTTACAGAAAAGCAATTTTGGCTGATGTGCTAGGAAAATGATTCAGCATGCTTCTTACTTCAATGTATAAACAACATTACCCCTTTACATACTCATTACATAATTTTTTTTGGTCTATAGTTTTTTTATTTAACAAAATAATTTTTAGAAATGGAATTGCAAGAAGAAACCCAGCTGGATGATAACGAAGATGAAGATCTTAATCTTGAGACTGATAGCATTGAGACAAGATTGTACAACGATATCAAGGGCCCCCTCACACAACAAAACGAGAATAGTTTACCGTTCAACTCAACCGAATCGCATTCGTGTCAAATTATTGTTATATATCAATTATTTTTGTTGCCTGTTGTAGTAGAGCTTTTTTTCTGACAAGTGTTAAACCAAGTGTAGGAATACAGTAAATTAAAATTATGTGATATGTGCCAAATTTACTTGCGCTTCACCTTTAATCTGAATGCTGGATGTCTCTGTGTAGAAATTGGACATGAAGAGGTGCCCAAATATTTTTAAGAAATATCCACACAACATGTCCCTGTGAATTTAATGATGTTTATTATATTATATCATTCTTGTTATTGTTTTCAAAGATGTTTTTGTTTTGTCATTTTTAATATAGTAATTATAGAATGAATATGTTTATTGTGCTCTTTATTATAGCGTAGGCTAATAAAATGGTTAAATTTTGAATATATAATTGGAATTACAACTTCTATTTTTTCATATTCCCACATCCTGTTTAGTAAGGAAATAATTATGATAAAATAGTTTAAATTCAAATAAAAATTTTGAAGATAGTATTGCTGCGTCATCTATGAACAAACCAGGGAAATATAACTCCATCGGTTCTAATTAAGCTACTTCCATCCAGAGGGCGACACAGTGCTGCAGATTGAAATGTCAAAGAAATTTACCACCACATTGCCAGTTCAACGAAAAATAAGGATATTTAAGACTTTTAGTATTGTTTAATACATATTTCTTGCAAGTGTTTTATTATTTAATACATAGATTTGCTTTACATGATCAATAATAAAAACTAGCTCTACTAAATATTGATTTATATTAAACTCAAAAATATCAAAATTCATTTGTGTTGTATTTGACATTTCAAATAAATCAGCTATATGACAACATTGTATCAGTGTTAAATTTGTGGGAAGTTTACATACGTATTTTCTCTACAAGAATTTTTCAGTAATTTTTATAAAAGTAAATAGTTGTATTTTCAAATCAGGAAAGTTATTGTTCGATGTAAAATGATCAAAACGATTAATAACATCGAGGATTTGGATGATATAAGCATGACAGCCCAAGAGCTACACGTTCTTTCTGAGTTGGATAGGTTGGTGTCTTTTTGAGTTGTTATTTTCGTTGTATTTTGGATAATAATAATTGTTACTCGTATTTTAGCCGCCAGTATGGTTACTTATTATTAAATAAACCGGAAAACGCCAAGAAGAAAGAGTTAGTTCAAAAGGTAAGGTAAACAAACTAGTAAAGTCAGCAAAGTTAGGTTAAACAAACCTGCAACATATTAATTAATTTTTTAGGCTGTTAAGTGCTTACAGCTCATGGTTATTCAAGCTAAGAAAGAGCAGAAGTTGAATGAACATGAAGAAACCAAACAAATCAGTATTGACCCAAAGACATGGGTCAAATTGGGGCACTTCCATTTACTTTTGGAAGAGTACCGTGAAGGTATGTACATGACAACACATAAACAAGAATTCTCCAGTTTTTACTATTTTTATCGTTGTAGCCTTATCAGCATATCAGATGTTTTACAAAACACAAGCCGAAAACCACTGGCAAAATATCAATTTTTTATATGGGATTGGACTAGTATATTTTCACTACAAGGCATATCAGTGGTAAGTTTATTTCTTTATTAATTGTATTATATTTGTTGTTGTTGATTCAGCGACATTATACAGTTATCCATTAGAATTTTGTTCTGTGTATTTTTTATTAATGAAATATTTTGACCTTCCTATACAGAGTGGTCCGAACTGTAGCCAGGAAACCTCGGCAGCATATTCTGCAGATAAAAATAAGTGAAAATGTTTATATATATAAATATGTGTCGTAAACTGCTTAGTTTCGGAGATACAGTGTGTAGAAGTTTCATTTTTATTTCGATTTTTTCCAAATAATTTTTGAAGTAAAAATAATTTCTGTACTCCTCAAACCAGTTAAAAATATGTAGGTGGCGCCCTCTACAAGTAGGAGTCATATTGACATCAAAATCAAATTTCTCATGTCAAAAAACTCCCAGACATCAATTTTCATCCAAATATTGACGTTACCTCATAAATTATTGGGAAAAAATCTCTCTCTCTCTTTCGAAATAAAAATGAAACTTCTACACCCTGTATCTCCGAAACTAAGCATTGTAGGCCATACATTTATACGAACTTTCTTACTTATTTTTATCTGCAGAATATGCTGCCGAAGTTTCCGGAATACAGTTCGGACCACCCTGTATAAAGATTACAGTTAACTGTCGATCAGATTTGATAAGTGTTTACGTTGATTGGTTAGATGGCGCCACGCAGCTGAATTTCGAAATTCCAAAGGCGTAGTCTGTTTATTATGCCAAAAATAATTATCCTTTGTTTTTTCTCCAGTGGCGTAGTGTTTTAAATATAACATAACATAAAACATAAGAAAATAGAGGATTTAATACATTACAAGTGCACTTAAAAGAGTAATAGAACAGATTTATAAGTTATTAGATAAAAGACACGATTTGTTGTGGCTTAATAAGGGTAGTTTTCGAGATATTTTAAGCAGCGAATCAGTTTGGGAAGAAACGCGTTCGGGGTAGAGGTGGGAATTCTAGTTCCTTGGTAGGAACTAGTTTCTTAGTTCTAGTTCCTCCAGAGGAATAGTTCCTTGAACTAGGTCTTTAGTTCACAATAGTTCCCGACTAACATTGACATCCCCGTTGCTTGCTAATGGGTTTCGTTGTCAGTCAGAACTATTCACAGTATGATCTGTATACTTTTTATAATGTACGAAATATATTGAGACGTGTAATTGCGTATATTAAAAACATATAGGTAAGTTTTATAGCAGATAAAAAAAATTAAAAAACAAACTCAAATCAGAGTTTAAAAAACTATATCACAAATCAGTTGGAGCAAATAATACGAAAATTTTACGAAAAATTGCATTTTTCCTAACTTCAAGCTTTTTGTTTTTGTCAAAATCAGAATATCTACTTCGTTTTATAAGATATTTTTTAATTTTAGGGACCTAAAGTGAAACATTCCAACAATATTCAAAGAACAAACTAAAAATCAAAAACAGTATCCACGACAATTTTCAGTGGTAATTTTAGTTCCTCTCAGTCCTTTCCTGTCCGGGACAGGTAACATATATACGGCTGGCATTCCCCACTTCACAGTCTCGATCCCGGAATAGGTCCTGAGGAACTAGTTCTATGAGAAGCCGGGAACTAGTTCCCTTCGTTCCGAGGTCGGAATATTTCATTGGAACTAGTTCGTTCACGAACTCCACACCTCTAGTTCGGAGCCATCTGCTATCGATTGAACGCGAATCAAATGCACGTCGACGCGCCACTGGTGGCGTTGCAGTGGCGTGGGCTCGTCCCGTGCAGCGTCTTTTCCTGAATCCGCAGCGGTAAACTGAGTCGAATTTCCGTCCACAGTACAAGGCCCAATCCCAATGTCGATGCTGCTTTTATAATACGGTCCCCGTACAAAAGTTGAACGGACGTGCCTTAGGTCTGTCGATGTATTTGTGTGTGTGCTTACCCCCGATCGCAGCCGATGCTGGGCTCGGGTGCGGTCGGCATTAATGCGAAATGCGATCCAAGGTAGTAGGGTTCAGAAGCAGCGAGGGATGTGACATTCGCTGCTTTTGTACTAACCTTAGGACTAACGCAGTATTGCCTAGTACAAATGTATTTAGTGTTTACGGCTTCATATAAAGTGATGAAAATTTATGTAAAATTTGATGCAAAATGTTATTTTGTTGTTTTTAGAGACGTTAGTTCTAGAAAATAATATATGATTTTAATTCCAATGCTTAAAGAAAGCAAAGTCAAACAATCAACCATCTATATATTTTTGTATGACTACAAACAGTACCAGGAGTTTATTTTTTTACTCGTTTGCAGTCATTCGCCATAAGCTCGTCATAGCAATATTTACAAGACATGTTTGAAGTTCTTGGTTTGTAGTCTATCATACATAATCTCTCCCGGGAAAGAATATATTATTTTATAGCACCTTGGCTATACAGGGTGGTTCGAATTATATTCGGGAAACTTTGACCGCATATTCTGCATATAAAAATAAGTAAAAAGTCGTATAGATTTATGTCTTATAATGTTTCGTTTCGGAGATACAGGGTGTAGAATTTTCATTTTTATTTCGATTTTTTCCAAATAGTTTCTGAAGTAACGTCAATATTTAGATGAAAATTGGTGTCTGAGAGTTTTTCGACACATAAAATCACGGAAACGTATATTTTTTTCACTCAGAAGTTTTATACGAGTACGGACGAAAAGTTACAGTTAAAAAAGAAGTAGGTGGCCCCCCTACAAGTAGGAGTTATATTGACATCGAATTCAAAAAAAAATCATGTTAAAAAAAACAGATACCAATTTTCATCCAAATTATTTGGAAAAAATCGAAATAAAAATGAAACTTCTACACTGCACTGAAACGAAGCATTTTAGGACAAAAATTTATACGAACTTTTTACTTATTGCTGAAGTTTCCCGCATACAATTCGGACCACCCTGTATATGGAGGCCAAATATTTAGGACCAATATTATAGACTTGTCTTAAAGAACGTACCAGTAGTTGTAGAACCTATAATCTATCTACAACCTACAACACAACATATTCTACGTAGAGGTCTAATCTTTTAGTACAGTTTTGTAGCAGCAACCCTGACGTTTAGTACGAAAATGTTTCGGCTTGCAGCAACACTGGAGGCAGTGCTCGATACAACGGTGTTGCGCGCTGTGTGGATGGTCCCTTGTATAAACTGAAGATTTTGGGTGTAGGGTAAAATCCTTTTTAGTGGTTAACGGATTGGCTTGTGTGGATGTGCGGTGGCAAGAGGACGGTTCTTTTTGTTTATTTCTTTCGCGCTTAAAGTGTTCATTAGTAATTAAGTTCGATTCTAGTGGCTTCATCGTCTCGTATTTATTTAAGAGTTCGCGAGTGTGTTTAAGTCAATCCCCGAATTTTCTTTCCGCCGATCCAGATAGGATATTCCTCCCCTCGGTATCTCTCTGTCTGTCTCTATCTCGCTCTGTCGCGCATTTATTTTTTTTTCGAATATAGATATTAGTACGTACGATTTATCAAGGAGTGCGGCGCCGAATGGTAAGTTGCATGTCAGGACAATGTCGTAATCTTTGGAATGCACATTTCTCGATGCGGAGTCATTGAACGCCCACTAATTCGACTTATTCAAATTAAAAAGAAACATCCGCCATATTGCTGATATACCACGCTATCCTGGTGTTATTACTTCCGCAAACTCGTGTGCCGTGTCATGTATTATTAAAAGATCGCGTTGATATACAAATTGGATTGTTACACTAAATACCGTGTATGAAAATTTACTTGCTAATGTGAAGGCGCCCTTATAATTTCCATATATCGCTATTTAGAGCTGTTTTCTTTCCGCTCAATAACAAAAAGATTTATCCCTTTGTTTACATTAGGTGTCATTTTTTGTTAGTAAACAATCTCTTTAAACTTTGCGTAATATTTAGTTCTTGTTATCAACAAATTTATGGATTCACTTCTTTTCCTTCATATGCATATTTAATTCATTTTCCCCTTATATTATTTCATTCTTTAATTCTACTTTGTTTTTTTTATTTTCTATTTTCCATGTTTTTCTTTGTTAGCTCTTCTATTAAAACCGGAAATGTATAACACTAACTTTTTAATGATTTTTAAATAACACCTGTTTGGTTTCGAAGTATTTGTGCAGGGTAATAAAATATTTACATGACTTTATTGACTTTTGAATTTTCGTTTTGAACTGGAGGTTTTTGTAGTTCGTAACGCAAACCTGTGTTTTAATTCAAAAGAGAAATTGTTTTTATGCTAATAGTAATAATATTAATTAATCTAAAAATAATGGTATACAGCTGATTGATTTAAAAAAAACACCATTTAAATGGAAAGGAAATAGCACGTGGTCAGAATAAGTGGGCGTGAATTCATTACTATAATATTTTTTTTTTCTTAAAACTGTTTCGTAATGTATGACTAATACGGGTTATTTCTTATTAAATAAATGTAAGAGTTCTGAAGGGATAATATAACAGCGATATATTTTTAAAGGCCCTGTATATATCCATGAATTTTATGCAGAATCAGTAGTTCAGTGACTTTTATTAATATGCATTCGGCTTTAAAAATAAAATTTTTTAGTAACTAATTTTTATGCGTTCCTCGATTCAAGTCAATTCTGAAAATTTAATGCTTCCAAGATGAATCATAATGAGTTGTTTTACGGCTAATTGAGATTCATAGAATTCTTTTTGTTTAAGTATATTTTATTTAAGGATTATAAACAGGAAATATTACTAACATGTACCTAATTATCGAAGAGGCGAATACGAAATAAGAAAACAATGAATGCGCCTAACAGTAACAATTCTTTATTTTGTTAAGTGCAACAACAAAATATACCGTTACGGAATGTGCCACCTGAGGCTCAGAATTTAACATTATGCAGTCCAAAATAGGAAGAACTAATTTATTTTGCGTTTATTATATATTATTTCCAACAAATGTAGCTAGAGAGATGTGTGGAAGGAAGTATACAGTGGTGGCCAAAAGTATGGAAACTTTTTTAATTTGTCATTTATGCTGAGAAATTAAAATATGAAATAAAACGACTTATATAATCGTGACCTACAAATAATTTAATAACATTTAAATAAAAAATTACAGCTATCAAAAAATATATAAAAAATTATGAATATTTCCTTGGTCAAAAGTATGGAAATTTAAGAAGAATGTTTATTAAAATTCAAGATAATATAAAAATTACTAATATTGAGTGGAATATCCCTTTGAATTAATTACTTCTCTACATCTTCGTGGCATCGAATCGATCAATCTCGTACAATCTTTACTGGAAATGGCCGCCCATTCAGTTTTTAGCATTTCCCATAATTCATTTTTATTTGAAATAGAATGGCTTCGAATTTTGCTATCCAAATGGTCCCATAAATTTTCTATGGGGTTAAGATCCGGAGACTGTGAGGGCCAATCCATTAGTGGAACATTATGTTCATTTAACCAATTTTGAACAAACCGAGATTTGTGCTTGGGATCATGTCTTGCTGGAACAACCATCTGAGTGGCATTTCTTCATCAGCATGAGGCAGCATATTATTCTCCAATATGTCTTTGTATAAAAAACGGTCCATTATCCCATCAATTTTAACAAGAGGACCAACACCTGAACGAGAAAAACACCCGCATACCATTATACTCCCACCCCCATGTTTTACTGTGGGCATCTGGTACTTATGGCTGTACCGTGTACCTTTTGGTCTTCGGACATAACGTCTCCCGTCACTACCAAACAGTTGAAACTTGCTTTCGTCGCTGAACAGTACAGTATTCCATTTCTGATAAGACCAGGTGAGATGATCTTGAGCAAATTTAAAGCCCAGGGCCATCCTATTTTTCTTTGATATTAGTGGTTTCTTCACCGCAACTCTTCCAAAAAGTCCCATGTCATCCAACCTTCTTCTCACCGTGCGTGCAGACACCGATCTTCCCCTTTCACCCATTTCTCGAGAAATGTCTGTGGATGTTTTTCTTGGATCTCCCTGACTTAAAAGCTGTTGAAACGTTCCCTGTTTTATTAAATTTACGAATTATTTTCGAAACGGTGCCTTTTAAAATGTTTAAATTTTTACTTATTTGAATTTGTTTATAACCGCTCTTGTATAATTCAACCATTTTATTTTTTAAATCCGTAGAGAAATATTTAGACTTGGTCATGATGTTTATATTTATCTGAAGCAAATCGTACCGTTTATCAGCTTAAACTAAATAAGTTTAATGTATTTATTTATGGTTTCCATACTTTTCGCCACAAGAAATCTATTCTCCTACAAAAACTGCTAAACAGATTTTTTTCGCTGTGTAATTTTTGGAATACTTTTATTTGCTGATAAGCTGATCATTTATATTCCTGAAAGTTTAAGCATAGCAATATTTTCTGTGATATTTTAAAAAGTAAAAAGTTTCCATACTTTTGGCCACCACTGTATATATTATATTTCAGAAATCTGCCTAAGACTTAACCCGATCCTGGCGTGTTGAACCACATCCAAAATTCTAAACACACGAGCTTTGATTAAGGCTTGATTAAGGTTTGCAGAGGTTCAGCATTTGCCATAAAATAGAGAGCAATTTGTTACAACACCATATAAGTTATATATCACTGTAATCAGAAAACTTCAATCTATTTCCGTATTGTAACGGAATTTTAAATTATGTCTTTATTTTCGAGAAAATTTAGTTCAAACATAAGGAATATTTTGTTGATGTTTAACCATCAAAATCTTAAAAATAAAGAAGTTTTCTAAAAATGTGCTACAATACGGATACAGTATAATCCTTTATCTTTAATTTCCTTCTTCATTTGTGTAAAAATACCTAGCCAATTTTACATAAAACGTTAAATGCCGAACGCATATATTGCTACTTTTTCAGGCTAGTGAAATGGACTCTTAAAGTTCTTCTCTTTAAAATTTACTGCCACCATAAAAATGTTGCTTAGAAACATTTTTACAGTCGCATGAATTTCTAAAAGAAAAATTACCTGAGTCTCCAAAACTTTTGTGTACCTATATAAATACTTTTCCAGGCTTGTTAACCCATTGTATTTGACAATATTTTCTCAAAATATGCTTGCTGTTCATAAAAATTGTAAGAGAGAAAAACATAATAAGCTATAAACCTTATTACAGTTGGGGGTTGGAACCTTTGAGCGAAATACAACACTATAATTCGCCACAATACATCAAAACACTTGCCACGCGTTTCGCTAACCATGTTAGCATCATCAGCAGATGATTAAAATTGAAGTTAAACTCGATTTTTAATCATCTGCTGATGATGTTAACATGGTTTGTGAAAAAGTCCAATGTTAAAAACAAAAAGTGTTGTGGTGAATTACTGTTATATTTTGCTACAAACCTTATGACTGATATTGGTTTGTTTATTTGGAAGAATCGTTATTCTAAAAATATACCCGTTTAATTTTTAATGTGTTTTTCGAAGAAATATGATCTAAACGTATTTTTTGTTAGCCCGGGTCAGTTGATGAAATTTATGCAACGTTAACAACAATCGTTCAGTAGCGTACACTATGAAAACATTTATTCAATTAGAGAAATCTTATAAATGCACGTAGTACGTGCAATTTTTCGGTAGTATTTTCGAAAAATAATACAATTTGTTGCGGAAGGTCAGGTAAAAAAGATGACCACAGCATGGCTGGGTGATTTGTAAAGGGCAGTGGCCGCTGAATCTCAAGATGGTATCTGCTATCTACCTGACTTAACCTTGCTGTCCATGCAGTCACTGACCTCACTCACGTCATCTTCAAATCAGTTTTTAACATATTATTTGTTTTCTTTTTTACTTTCGTTGCGCTATTTTATTAATAATTTCCATGCTTTATATTATAACGTCGGTGAAACGTGATAAACTGCTAACTCCATTATTCCTAATTTTACAGGAGAGCAAAAAAACGGTACAAAAAAATATGTACACATGTGGGAAGTATTTTGATGCGTTAATATGATAAAGAGATAAGAATTTTATTTGCATAGGGAGATAGCAGATATTCGTCTTGCAGAAATAAGAAATAAAAATGTACTTCTGGAGATAGCAACCTTTATTGTTCGAAATTTTGAAAATGGAAATGAATATTACCCAAACAGTATGAATGCATCTTAGTGCAATAAGATAAATTATAACAATTATGCGTATACACATATTATCATCTTATTACGTACAAGTTACATTAAGATATACAGAAATACTTAATTTATCAAAGATAGATAACCTTTCCGGCATTCTTTTAAACATTTTATCGGGAATAGTCGATGCGTATATAATAAAAAATATATAAAATGTGACCTATTTCGAATATACTATAAGTGTTCTATCAATTAGTTGTTGCGTAAATAAATACTAGATAACCCGCAAAACGGTGTAGTTAAATCTTTGTGTACTTTGTTTTTAACGTCATTTCAAACCAATACTACACACTTATAACATTCTACGATATATAAATATTGATCTGTATCGATTATTAAACGAAAATTGCGACCTAAACACAGGATATAAATCGTTTGTGGATTAATTAATGAAATTTAGGTTTACTACTATCTACTATTAAATTACACTTAAAATTAAAAAAAAAATAAGCTGGGAACGAGTGATTCAAATTGATTTACGATCAATCATAATGATTTTTGACATAATATTATGTATTTAAGCCTTATCAGTTGAATTTAAACATTTCAGAATGTATTTTTGGTGGAAACTTGATATAAGTGAATTTTTGTGATGGCATCTGATTATGAAATGAAGAAAAAAACCTGTAAGAAGCAGGTGGTTTTATTTGAGTCAGCTGTTGAGGCAACTGGCACTGAAAAGCTTTTTCGGTCGAATTTTCTTTGTACAAAAGTATTACCTGCATTCTTTTTATTACTAAGTATACAGGTAACATATAAAAGGAAATAATGGTTTTGAAATAGGTTTCCGTGCAGCATGCACCCGTAGATTTATATTGGAACATCTGGTGTTTAAAAATAAATACCGCCAAGGGGATTATTTTTACGAAAAGTGCTTGTGTTTTGCAGGGCAAATAAAATACATTTCTATTCTGGATAATATAGGGAAATAAAAAGTGCATAAAGAAATTTGTTTAGTATTTTAAAAGTCCAAGTTCTTAGATGCAAAAATGAGTCACATAATATACGAACTACGTAATGCTACCTACTCCGATTTCTTTGTTGAGAAAATGTAAAATTACAATTATTCTCGACTGGCTTAACAAAGCACATTTTTATTAATAGCTAGCTTTACAGTTACTCGAGGAATCTTATCGACGTTACAATATGTAGTATTTCCCGCTCGGTCACATCAATGGGTTTTACGTCAAACGTAGTAAATAAACAAGCTTTTTTCTTGTTCGAAACAGGATTTTTTTTATCATTACAATGATATTTTGAACCCTCACGACCTTTTCTGCTGTCATTTTTGATAACTCTGTTTTTTTAGCTTTGCATTTTTATACGTCACATATGAGCTGTTATTTTTGAAAGTGGTAATTAAAAAAATAGTTAATGGTATAATTTCAGTAAGATATAGACATTCTTTCCATATTTATAATCAAACATTCAATGGGGTACGATTTTTTTATAAAATCAACAAAAGAATTTTAACTATAAAATGTTACAAAAATATATTTTTTTTCAAAGCTGAATAAGTCCATTCCTAATAATTACAAACCTCGGCAAAATTAATATCTTACCACTTTATAAAATTTCAAGGAGCATAACAAGAGAGAAATATAACACCTCATAAATAAGTAAAAATATTTATTACAAAGTGAAAATAATTTCTACAGCGGTAGACTAAAATCGAACCCAAACCAGTCTATTCTGAAAATAATATAGCTGAAATTTTTGCCTTTTTCTACCTGCACCGGGAACGACCCTCTGTCCATTGTTGTAAAGACCATATTTCGTTCGGTATACAGGGTGTGCGCCGTTAAACAGACCAGAACCGTGACTTCTGGATACTAAAGCGACTTCTATTGCGTTGCAGGGCTGTAAAAGCGTTCCAACAACTTCTTTATGTATCTCCCAGCTTCCAAAGGGCGAATGAAGTACATCTCAGGCTGGGTTTGATGTTCAAAGTGACTCAGGAGTATGAGCTAGCCCACAAACACTTCCAGTTAGCCTTAATTGACGCCAACCCTTGTTCAACCCCTAAGAATATCAGTAAGTACACAAACACCCAATACAGCATTTTTTTTTCATATGAGGCTTTATAAAAGCTCGCTAATAAAAGTTTTTTATTGGTCGTATTAAAAAATATTTATTATTTTGGTAGATATATGTAGAATATAATGCAGTATCATTATTCCGCGGTGAAATAGTTCTAATACACGAACCGCAATCGGTGTATTTTATGCACTTTTGTTTCTTAATTCTGATTGCATTGCGTCACCGGCTGCAACAGAGCTCGTTTCATTGTAATACGCCTGCATAATTACCATTTTTTTCCTTTCCTTTCAGTAAAATTCCACATAGCTCATTTATTCGAAATCCAAGGAAAAGTACGGGTGGCTAAAGAACGGTACGAGCTCCTGCTCAGAGACAAATCGATAACATCCAACCTAAAATCGGAGATTTTTCGTCAGCTCGGCTGGCTCTACCACAGCCATGAATCCCTGGGCGAGAAGAGCCAGCGCATCCCACTAGCGATCCACTGTCTGCAGAAGGCGAACGAGACAGAACCATATTCCAACGGGCAAACTCTGTATCTGTTGGGCAGATGTTACGCTAGCATCGGCAAGGTGCACGATGCATTCATCGCCTACAGGAACTCCGTGGAGAAGTCCGAAGGCAATGCTGACACTTGGTGCAGCATAGGGGTCCTCTACCAGCAACAGAACCAGCCTATGGATGCGCTGCAGGCTTACATTTGCGCCGTGCAGTTGGATAAATGTCATTCGGCCGCCTGGGCCAACTTGGGAATCTTGTACGAGAACTCTTTGCAGGCCAGGGACGCTTACGCTTGCTATCTGAACTCTCAGGCCGGTCTCAAAACCAAAGGCATACAGGAGGACAATTCCAGTAAAATACCGAAGCTTGGATCGAGCTCCGTGGGAATGAACCCACACCTCACTCAAAGAATCAATTTTCTCCAAGACCGTCTAGCAAACGCACAAATGCCTAGCGTTACCTCGCAGTAAGTTTTCCTTAGATTTTCCCCGCCTTCTAATAAATTACTATAAATAATTCGAATAAATAGTGCATGTCCTTGTGTCTCTAATAATAACCGGCACTGCAGGGGATTAATTTCTATAATTACTCTTGCATTAAAAAGCTTTACGGAAAGTGACCTATTTTTTCCACGTTTTAGTTTTTCACTTCGACAGTTTAAGTCTGTTATTCTTTTTATCCAAAGCAAAAGAAATTCATTCATTTCAATCTGTAATCTATTTTTACTTAATTAATTGCACAGTAAATGCATTAACAAGCCTGCTTCACACAAGGCTCGTTATCTGCTATGCGTTAATTAGCCTGAAACTAGGGGTTGCGCGTATGGAGTTGAAATTAAATAATTCTGACGAAAGAACTCGTAATTCTCTTGCAGAAGAAGGCAACTGTTGTCTATAGAAGAGGCGTGGAATCTTCCGATCTCGGCTGAAATGTCTTCTAGGCAACAGCAGCACACTCAGCAACCCCGTTCCGCAAGCCAAAGTTTCCAAAAGCCTTACGGACAATCGACCCCTCAAGGTCCACCGCCACCCTATCCCAGTCCTGTTCCAGGGAAACGTTTCAAAGCTGAACAAGAGCAGAAAGTGATTCAGCCCAGTTACATGCTTTCCCAGCAACAAATCCACCTGCTTAATCATCTGAAATCGAACGCGCTCACTTTAACCGTGCAACAGCAAAACCTGATGCGGCAGCTGCAAAACCAATACAGTTTGATGCAGCAGCACCTGAGGAATAGCCAGAACCAAAACAGGACCCCTACACCCCCTGGCGGCGCTTTGGGACCGCCAATTCCGTACCTGGTCAACCAGGGATCGCCACTGGGCACGAATAAAGGGTTTCCGAGCGTTTCCAGTCAGCTAAATGTCAGTTCTTCGTCGTTTATGTCGAGTCAGCACCAGGACTTGGACGTGGAAGAAGAACTGAAAGATCTGCTCTCGCAAAAAGATCTTGCCACTACTTTGGCTGAGAATTTGCTGAAACATTTCGGTTCGGAGGAGATTGAAACGAAAGAAGAAGCCGATTCGACCACTTCGACTACTACATCTGCTGCAGGTAAAATAATATATCTTCAAATTTCTTTTTACTGCGTTCAAAAATATGAGTTTAAATAAACGTAATACATTTGCAGGTGCAGTCATATCAAAGATTTATCGATTTATTTATTTTCGCTGATTGCAAATACAAAGAGCTTATAAAATTATGTTTAAATGTTTTCAAAAATATTTATATTAAATTTGCAGGTGTAGAATGTAATAATCATATCCTAGATAACTGATATAGTAAACATTTATTTGTTATTGATAAGACGGCACGATAAGAACGTCATTTCGGTGTTACAAAATCGAAGCTTGAAAATACGGAGTGGCCTAAAGAAATTTTAAAATTAATTTCATTCTAAATTAATTACAAAGACTAATAATAGCCATAAATTTTTGAGAGAGAATCTATTTTCTAGTTAGAAAAGAACATTAAAAAACTCTGATTACGTAATATGTATGTATATAATAAATTAATTATCTAATGTTTGGTAAATTTATTTAGTTCAAAACCGCAAGAGCTTTATCAGAAGACGAATCATGTGGTCTTAACATCCAAATTATGCCAAAGAGTATTAAAAATAGTGTTTTATTTATTAAATGTTTATTTCAGTGATTTTATTAAATATTTTTAAAATTTAATATAGGTATTGTTTTATGGTGTTTGGAAATACCAATACAACGATTTTTTATTACAATAAGGTCTTAGTAATAGATTTAATTATTTGAAACAATTCCATGAGTCCCATTTTTTATTAGGCGAACTTGATTCATCTATGATAGAAACGAATACCTGTAATGCCAGCATCACTGGTGTGAAAAAAACAAATACTTTTTTCATTGAAATTCGCAAATCATGTTGGAAAATATATGTTCGGCGAATTTCTCGGTATAAAAGATTATGGAAACTCCAATAGAAATCTAGTTTATTAAATTCGTACCTCAACACCGTCACGCTGTCATTTTGCTTCTAGAACCGGTGGTCCAAGTTTCGTCCAACACGCTGTCATCCGGGCCTTTTTCGCCATCCAACATCGAGTCGAAAAGCGAAATAAACGAGTCCAAGAAAATGCGAATCAAATCGCCAACCGAAGAGAGCGTTTTGACAGTCAAATCAGAGCCTGCTTCCTGGGATTTCGAGGCTTTGCACTGCTCAGAGAAGAAGTCCACGGTCGACTACAGCATCGACATGAACGCAGAAACAGTCTTGGAATTGTGCAAGTAAGTTTGATTTTTCTTCCCTTCGGTTCTTATTAGGGTTCAGAACCGGGAATTCCCGGTTCTTTCGGTACTTTCGGAACTCGGTAATATCAATTAAAAATAAGGTATATATTAAATTTATATTTCCGAAACTGAAGTTCCAAGAAAAGTCGTAATATATCTACAAATTCATTTACCCACTAGTAGATATAAAAAACATTTTTGGTAAATTCTGTCTTAAATAGTTTTTGAAAAATAAAATTAACTTTTTTAAAAGGTCCTATTAAATTTATATCTCCGAAACTAAAGTTCCAAGAAAAGTCGTAATATATCTACAAATTCATTTATCCACTAGTAGGTATAAAAAGCATTTTTGGTAAACTCTGTCTCAAATAGTTTCTGAAAAATAGAAAAATAAAATTAACTTTTTTAAAAGGTCCTATATCTCCGAAACTAAAGTTCCAAAAAAAGTCGTGCTATATCTACAAATTCATTTACCCACTAGTAGATATAAAAAGCATTTTTGGTAAACTCTGTCTCAAATAATTGCAGCTAATTGAGGAACTCCACAATTATTGAACAAAAATATTTTAGTAAGGTTCCTTAAACTTTAATTCTAATTAGTACTACCAATTAGGGTTCAGATCTTTTGGTCATCACAGAACCGGGCCTTGGTAACAATAATTAAAAAATTAATTTTTTGTTACGTGAGAAGTCCTTTTATACTTCCTAGCGGTCGAAATCAAAATCTTCTAAATAAGTAACGATGCTATTTCTTATTGTTCCTGCTTCTTTTCTCTTTTGAAGTTCCTATAATATTTATTATGTTATGTTTTAATAGATATTTGCATTTTTAATTCAATATTTTAGCACTTTTGTCTCAGTTAATTCAGTTAAATGTTGTTTGATGTGAAATTTAAGTTACCTATATTTTTTTCTTGTGTTCATGTTAATTTTTTCATGAATAATTATTAAGTAATCAATTAAATATTATTTTAATTAAAAATCTCAATTTTTTATCAATTATACTTTGAAAAACCATCCCTTGCTTTCTGATTCATCAACTGCACCACCATTGAACAAAAATTAGTCAGTACCGAAAAAAACGGGAAATCCCGGTTCCGGAAACCCTAGTTCTTATTAAACAAACACTTAATTTTCGTTTGCAGAGGTGAAACTATTACTGGAGACATAAACGACTCAGTGTTACTGGATATAGGTCCTCCACCCTCACCTCCCGACCCTCCTGCAACCAAGCTAAGTCACCAGCAACTCATACCACCCACACCTTCAGTCTACCTTGATAACAAAAAGCACGCGTTCAGTCCCCAGTTGCAAGAGTTTTGTCTGAAACACCCTATAGCCGTGGTGAGAGGTTTGGCATCGGCTCTCAAGCTAGATTTAGGATTGTTTTCTACAAAAACACTGGTTGAAGCTAATCCTGACCATAGCGTGGAGGTGCGTACGCAAATACAACAACCTTCTGACGAAAATTACGATCCGCAAACGGGCAAGAAGGTCTGGGCGTGTATCTCGCATAGATCTCACACCACCATTGCGAGATACGCCCAGTACCAAGCTTCCAGCTTTAAGGAAAGTCTAAAAGTAAGTTTTTTTTTGGTAATAATGAAATTACTATCGAATAATATTCGTGTTTTACAAGGAGGAAAGGGAGAAGTCGCAAGGAGGATTGTCCGATTCAGACTCGAGAGATTCGTCCCACCCCTGTACCGGCAAAAGACGCAAAATGAACTTCTCTGTAACGCCCTCTTCTCTCATCAAAAATAGCAAAGAACACAAAACGCTGAAGTAAGTGGTGTAGCATTTAGTAAAATTAGATTTAATGTGACCTAAATATTCGCAAACAAAAAGTTTCTTGGTAATGAGTTTATGTTATTAGTTTTTCAATCTCGTAAGTTCTTCTACCAAACAAACTTTTTATCTGTTAATTTCTAAGACAACTCAAATCTAATTGTTTCGAAATTGAAAACTTATTCTTTCTTTTTGAAGACTGTGTATTTATAACGACTATATGGATTTACCTTGATGTAAACATAAAGAGTAAGATGACAAAGAAGTCAACGTAGAGAAATAAATATAATTTATTTAATCGATTTTTTTCTATTTTATCTACAGGGTGAATAAATGCTTAAAAGTATTATCATTAAATTATTTTTATCGATGATGTCTAAAAAAATAAAATTTGTAACGAACACTTTAAAGAAATAAAATTTTAGAGAAAATGGCGAATGCGCCAGGACATTGACTTATTTAAACAATGCATTTTCAAGTACCAATCGTCTATCTTAATTTATTTTCATTTATTCGTTCACACTTTTACCAAAACTATTTAATACACCTGTATACAGGGTGGTCCGAACTGTATTCCGGAAACGCATATTCTGCAGGTAAAAATAAGTAAAAAAGTTCGTATAAATGTATGTTTTAAAATACTTAGTCTCGGAGATACAGGGTGTAGAAGTTTCATTTTTATTTCAATTTTTTCGAAATAATTTCTGAATAAAACAAAAAACTCCCAAACACCAATTTTCATCCAAATATTCGCGTTACTTTAGAAATTATTTGGAAAAAATCGAAATAAAAATGAAATTTCTACACGCTGTATCTCCGAAACTAAGCATTTTTTACTTATTTTTGTCTGTAGAATATGCCGCCGAAGGTTTAGGACCACCCTGTATATTTTATTGAGTATCTCTGCAGTAGAAATCCTATTATATATTTATCTCTTGATGTTGAGCTTCGATTCTTCAGATCCAGAGAGCTTTTTTAGTTATTGTTGTTAACGATTAGGTTTGGAACAAATGTTGATCTCTCAGATGAAAGAAAATGGCGTCCGCAGCTTCAGGAATTGATGAAGTTACCGGCGTTTGCAAGGGTGGTGTCAGCGGCTAATATGCTGTCGCATGTGGGCCACGTTATTTTGGGAATGAATACCGTACAGCTTTATATGAAGGTTCCAGGAAGTCGAACCCCTGGCCATCAAGAAAATAACAATTTTTGTTCAATAAACATCAACATCGGACCGGGTGATTGTGAATGGTTTGCCGTTCCAGACAGTTACTGGGGTGCTATTTGTAGGTAAGAGTAACTAAAATTAACCTGATTTGACTAGAAACTTTTTTAACTTCTTGTAATTTAATTCCTAGGTTATGTGAACAAAATCAAATCAATTACCTCCATGGATCCTGGTGGCCAGTTTTGGATGACCTATACAAAGCGAATATACCTGTCTACCGATTTTTACAACGACCTGGGGATTTGGTTTGGGTCAATGCTGGATGCGTTCATTGGGTACAAGCTGTGGGCTGGTGTAATAACATTGCCTGGAATGTGGGCCCGTTAACTGCCAGACAGTATCAACTTGCCATAGACAGATACGAATGGAACAAGTTACAGAACTTCAAAAGCATAGTGCCTATGTTGCATCTTTCCTGGAATCTAGCCAGGAATATTAAAGTCTCTGATAGGAAATTATTTGAACTTATTAAGTAAGTTTGTTGATCACAGGTGTAATTTTCTGATGGTATATCTTCTTACTTTTCGTTCTAGGAATTGTTTGCTTAGGACATTATTAAAATGCTGTAGGATTCTGGAGTTTGTCAAGAGTAAAGGAGTAGAAGTCAAGTTTCATGGTAGGGGGAAAAATGAAGCTTCTCATTATTGTGGACAATGCGAGGTAATTCTTGCACAAATTATATGCTTTTCATAACATTTTTCACATGTGTGATTTTTAGGTGGAAGTTTTCAATATTCTATTCATCAGAGAGCAAGAAAAAAGACACGTTGTACACTGTATGGACTGCGCAAGAAAACAGTCGCTCAATTTGGAAGGTTTTGTGTGTTTAGAAGAATACAATTCGCAGGAGCTTTGCGACGTCTATAACACGTTCATCCTGCACAACATTTCGGCGAATTCCGAACCGTTTAGGCTTATTTAAATTTAATTTATTGTAATAAAAATACAACTCTCACTGCCACTGGTAACTGATGTACAACTATTATTAAGCGAGCATTTTTTGCTTGACATGTAAAAAAATGAAACAAAAGTGATATTCGTTTAAGAGAAGAGCTATTCTATAATTGTAAATAATATTTTGATAATTCTCGTTCGAAATGTAATCTATCTTGGGTTTTCAATTAACCTAAAATATAGTGATCTCAATTTTATTAGGTGAATTTGTATTGTAGATAGACACTAAATAATTTATTTTATCATTAATTTTCTAGAAATATATTTTCCGTTGGTTCTTCAATTTAACCCGTTCATCAAAAAATTTGAAATAACCTAAATAAAATACGGCGTTTTAAATTTTGTGTGAAATTTCGGGTATTCTATGTATTTCTATACTTCTGTTCGATAAACAATAAGCCACAGATATTTATTGTGTTTCTTTTAATTTTTGTGTTAAACATATTAAGAGCGTAAAGCAACAGCAATATAATACAAAAATAGATTTTGTGTAGAGGTATCTCAATTTCCTTTAAAAAAACAATAAGACTGAAATTTAGGTTTATTATAATTTTGTGTTCGTTAGTTTAATTTGGGCTGAATAATTTTTATTTCGTGATTTTTTTAGTTTTACTTTATTCGCAAAATTGGAGATATGAGATCTTCTAAACAAACTGTATTTCTGTTTGATTTTTAATTCTACATGAACGGAAAGCAAGGTCAGACATTTTTAATTATTTTAAGGTTTTTTACACTGCCATTTTGTGATAATTGCCGAATATTTTCTAAATTTCTTTTCTCATTTAGGGCTAAAGAGGTCTTGTAAAGTTGAAATTAAAGCGAAAATAGATGGAATTCAGTTTTTGAAATAGTTTTAGCCCTAAGTATTAGAGGCTGGATTAACAGTGCCTTTTATCACATCGTCAGAAATTATAACTCAAATAACAAAGAAATAATTCCTGTATTTTTTGCATTTGCGACCGACCAAAAATTGACCTAGCCGATTCTCTGTATATATTAGATACGTAGTCCTGAAAATCTAGCTCAATTTTTCTATGTATTTTCTAATAGTGGTATTAAAATTCTAACTAAAAATCGTTTTTATCGTCATATTACGAAAGTCTGATTTTGATTGTGTATTTCTTAGGTTTAAATAAATTAATTGTAGGACATACCTATTTATATTGATATAAATAAAATAAAATTATTATAAATTGTGTTTCATATTACCTTGTTCACAGACTAACTTATAATAAGTTAGTTTGTGATAATACTTTTTTAAAAAGTTTGGTTTAATTTGAGATATTGCGTTTTCGGTCTTTTTTTATAAAAATTATTAAAAATACAAGAAATAAAATCAAAAATATACTAAATAGGTATTAACTAATAGTTGGTCTGTACTTACATTGCTATATACATCGTATTCTTAAACCATACAGGGTGTACAAAGTTCTCTGTATATTATTCCTTTGCTAGATGGAGAATTAATGTCTATTTGTCCATAGCATATTATACCGATCAATAAAAACGATTCCATCACTCGCGATATACAGAGTCTACCACTATGAACCGGCCATACCTCGCAAATGAATATATTTGGAGTAAGACAGCACAAGGTGTATATTCTTAGATCATAATGAACATTTCCAAGTTTAATACGACTCGAAAGCCATAATAAACTTATCTTAATCCAATATAATTGGGAGTCCTTACCGTACGCACATTCCTGTTCGCGGCGCGACCGATATAAAAGCGAATATAGCGATTCTCGTGACTCTGTATTTTACAAAACGTAGTTTAGCAATTAATCTTTGCTTTTCACTCGAATTTTGAACTTTTAATAACGCTTTAACACTAAAATCTCGTGTAATAACTAAGCATTAGAGGCGGTTTGTTCGAAAGGACGCGCAATATGGCGGCCCTAGCGGAAAACAAACGAACGTCTGGTCTAGCGCCATCTCTTAAAAAGCGGTTTAAGTTTTAGAGTTAATAATTTCTTTAATAAATTTGCATTTTAAAACATAAAAAAATGTTTTGCTTCAATATTTATGATTAGTCTATTTATATAAATTAAATGCAACAATATATTTTAATTTTCGAATGAAACAAAAACAAAGAAATACTTTGTGTGCAAAGTGTTTTACTGGTTGCATAAGATTGATCCAAAAATTATTAAGAGTCGAAATTAATTATTCAAAAACTAATTAATACATCGAAATACCATTCAATAGGGAATTTAATTCCCTGTGTACAAAATTTCATTGCAATTTAAATAAATAGTATGGAATTTAAATAATACTTTAGAACTCAATGCGCTTAAATAATAACTAATATCTTAAATAAAAAAGCAGGAACAGATCGACAGCTTTATTATAAACTTTAATAAAATATAATATATTTATGTAATCAAATCACTGATGCAGGCTTCTTTGGTACCTGAAAAGAAAAAAATCATATTCATATTGATGTCTTTTTCCATTTACATTCTAACTTACTTCATTCCAAAGTTTGATTCTTTAGTTTGCAGCTAACTAATATAGGCTATTGTTATATCAGGGTTTCCAGGTCTGTAAACAATTAGTTTATTATAAAAAAAGTATTACTTAAAAAATCCTACATACTTAAGTATCCAATGCAATGTTGACTTCTATTACTTCTACAGACACCGCATGAATACTATTTTCCATATTTTTTCAGTCTCCATATTTTCATATTTATTAAGTTATCATTTGCACAAGTCTCTTGTCAAGGCTCTAAGAAAATAAAATCAAAATGTAAACAACATATTATATAAATAATTTCTCTAATTTAATTACCCAGTGAATACAGTATGCAAAGTTCTTCATGAAATCAATCAAACAGCAGAGTACCTGTTGAAAGCAAAAACTGTATTAAATGGATGCCTTAAATTAATATGGATTTTTTTTAAAAAGACAAACATATTAAATTTAAAGTAATTAATAATATATTAAAAATAGAAAAAATAAACTATATTCCAGACCAAAAAATATTGATTAAAATGATAGATATATTTACTAACGAAAACCATGTAAAAAGAAATTTTAATTCCAAAAAAATAAATCTATTAACAATGTGGTGAATAGTGTTTATTAAAATTGTATGTATTCCATTTCTTCCAGATTAGACAAAATTTAAACATTTGAGGCGTCAAGTTCAAAATCATTGTTCATTGTTGATAATAGGCAAAAACTGGCAAGTGTTTGAAGGTTTATTTTACAAAAAAAAACGTGTTCATTGACTGGAATCATTGTTATGTATCTCATTTTTATAGAAAAACAAAACATAATGCATTCTAAAATTAGTTTAGAATCTGAAATGGATAAGACGTCAGTAGTAGTATTTGTGTAAAAATCAGGGTTGGACAAAATCATAATTTTTTTTAAAAAAAATCAAAAAAATCAGATTTTTTTTATTTAAATCGGAATTTTTTGATTTAAATCAGATTTTTTTGATTTTAATTCAAAACAATATTTAAATCGGATTTCCAAATGACTAGGACTTATTTCCAATTAAAGTCCTATCCTAAATGGCTAAATCTTAATAACTCTGAGCGATACCGATAACATTACCAATTATACGGGGCGTGTCATTTCTCCACATCGGTCACCAATATATTCCGCAAAAAAGTCGCTCGCTTCAGATCAAAAGGATTTTTTTTCAAACGTCTCAAAAGTATCAATTTTTGTCATTTTAACGGCTATAGGCATAAAAGTAAAGCATTGTTACTGCCTAAGCACAAAAATACAAAAATATATTATTAAACTGATATTAGGTGTCAAATTCAACGAGTATACAAATCGTTTCTCGATTACTGGTTGTATTATTTGCAATGTTTGAAATTGATTAAAAAATTATTTGTAATGTTTTAAAAAAATAGTGTTTTATTCGGAGTAAAAATGTACTTTTTGTGCCTCCTTGTAACGTCGGAATAGCTTTACGCTGGTCCTTCAAATGTACAGCATCGTCAAAAAAAGTATAATTTCTACTCTTAATAAAACAATACAATACTATTGTTCGGAAATAGTCTTAAGTCCAGAATGAAATTAGTATTATCTAATGTCAAAATGTAAAGTACTTACAGCAAATCAAAATGTCGGTAAGAATTTGGAAACATACCAACGTTTCAAAAAAAAATATAAAACAACATATTTTCTGACGATTATAGATTTTCGGGAATGAAGATATAGTCTCTATATCAGAAGAACCTAGTTCTGGCACTAGTCGGGAATGATATGTATTCGAAAAGCGAATTTTTGTCACTTATAAATAAATTTTAAAATAAATTCCTGCGTTTAGCTGTCTTATGGATTCACACGAAATTCGGTTCAACATTTAAATTGATGAATAGATATTTTTATATAGTTTTATAAAATTTACAATTATTTTTCGATTTATTATCTGTTATAGAAATATTTTTTATAGTTTTCTGGATAGATTTTTATAACTTTTACAGTTATTTTTTGATTTATTATAAAGTTTCAATAAAAATATTTTTTTGATTTAAATCACATGATTAAAATTTAAAAAATCACTTGCTTTAAATCATGATTTAAATCATTTGATTTAAATCGTGCCAACCCTGGTAAAAATCCCATAAAAAAATGCCGGATTTGAAAAAATAATGGCAATAAAATCAAATAGATGTGGAAAAGGCGGATTTTGCTGCAGTAACGTAATTGGTAGTGAATTTTATATAGGAATAGGCGACTTTTTCTGAATTTTGGGACTATGTTGATGTATATTTCAGGGTCCACTATTAATATTGTCATGAGGCCATTTTTCTTTAAATGGACAAGGCGGGTTTTGCAACTTGACGCCTCATTTATAGAATTCCTTAATCCTAATAATATAATAATTTTTAATGGCTTGCCAAGATAGTTTCATGATGTTTATTATTTCACTCTGACTTAATAGAATAATTATTATTATTATGTGTTTTTTAAATACGTCATAGAATTCTGAATACACTACCGTGTCGTATTCAGTTAACGGTTTAGCTACTTTACATTCAGTTGATATTTCTTTAAAGTAAAATTGTTCTTGCTGAATTGAGTGGATAGTAGTTATAATTCATCTTTAATAATGCAATAATGCAATATTATTATCTAGAAGTAATCGACAGTTATAGGTAAAAAACAATATAAAAAAGTACGGCGATTACTTATTTAGAAATAATCTTCCTTAAAAATTTACAGATACGTTTATAGGTTTATTTAATAGTTTAATGTACTTACGGTATTTTAACAGATTTTTCTCCATTTCAGGATATAAAGTAAGTCTTGAAATCCCGTAGAGAACCCCAAGGTTCCAAAACGATTAAAATCTTCTTTTTGGGGCGTGTTATTTGGAAAATTCCACGAAAGTTGGTAATATACGAAGTAAATATCAAATACTGCAAAACCATGGCTTTCTGTGGTTGTCTTTATAGATTTTAGAAAAAATTAAGAACATTTCTTAAACCAACAGTTTGAAGAAAAAAATACAAACAATACACAAAAATGGTGATGAAAGTATTGCCATTGTCCTTCGATCAACCCTATAGAGATTTTGAAATGAAAAAATTCAAGAAGGAAGTAGTTGGTCATCTCAAACCCACTACTTGATAAACTTGGACATTTACAAGAATGCTTTATTAATTTTCTAGTAAAAAAAAGAAAAAAACATATCGAAATGTACCAATAAAGACTGATAACAGATTGACAAAACAATATAAAATCAAAGAATGAGGAACAGAATATTCAGTTCATTTTCCAACAAACATATGTTTATATTAGTTAGTATATAGTTCTCAAC